CTTTTTATGCTTAGCCTAATACCCTCTAATTCCATTTGTGTTGTTGCAAATGGCATGATTTCATTTTAGGAGGGCTGCATAATATTCCCTTGTGTATTTTTTTACCACATCTTTATCCATTCATCTGTTGATGGACGTCTGGGCTCTTTCCATAGTTTGGCTATTGTGGACATTGCTGCTATAAACATTCGGGTGCACGTGGCCCTTCGGATCACTACATTTGTATCTTTAGGGTAAATACCCAGTAGTGCGATTGCTGGGTCACAGGGCAGCTCTATTTTCAACTTTTTGAGGAACCTCCACACTGTTTTCCAGAGTGACTGCACCAGCTTGCATTCCCACCAACAGTATCAGAGGTTTCCCCTTTCTCTGCATCCTCTGCATCCTTGCCAACATCTGTCATTTCCTGACTTGGTAATTCGAACTGGTATGAGGTGGTACCTCACTGTGGTTTTGATTTGTATTTCCCTGATGCCGAGTCATGTTGAGCATTTTTCATGTAGGATAGTGGCTTCTTAAATCATTTATCACCCCTATTATTTACATTTGCTTTTTAGTTTTACTTTAAAAATAAAACATACTTTTTCTCAAGTCAAAGTAAAAAATGAAAACAATCAGCATATAATCCTTTTAGATGTACAGTAGACCCCATCACTCCTCAGAACTCCACTGGTTTTCTTTCTCACTTGGTAAAATCACAAGCCATTCTGGTTTCAGACTACCACTTCCCCGCCTAGCAGTCTGCTTTCTATTTTTCCTTAAACATGTAGAGCCCACGACTGCCTCGGGTCCTTTGTAACTTGTCAACTCTGCCTGGAATGTTCTTTGCCCAGATAACTCATTCCATTCAGGTCTCTGTTCTAGTGTCATTTTTTTTTTTTTCCACTTAGAACAGTTCCTAACCTCCCTTATATCTTATTTTTCATCACAACATTTATCATATCTGACGTACTATATATTTTACTTGTTTCTTTATCCTCTTTTGATCGCAGGTTAGGAAACTGTAGCATGTGCGTAAGAATTGGCTGGAGTGCTGGTCAAAGCATATATTGCTGGGCCCCACTCCCAGAGCTTCTGATTCAGTGATCTGCACTGGGGCTTGAGAATTTGTATTTCAAGAAGATCCTAGAGATTCTGATGTTGCTGTCCATGAGTCACACTTTAAGAACCAATGTACCAGAATTCCTCTGGCCAATACAGTGGCCAATACTCACTACCTATGGTTATTTAAATTGAGTTTACATGAAATGTTTAGTTTGTTAGTCCACTATGTTAGTATTTTTCAAGTGCCTAATAGCCACATGTGGTAAGTGGCCACTGTATCAAATATGGAAAATTTCCAGTTGGACAGCACTGCTCTAGAACATAATAAACTACATAGAGATGGATTTCTATTCTGCTCCCCCCACCCAGAGTCATATCCCCATATATATATATATCTGGTCTACTTGGCATTTATTTTAGTGTAAGGCATAAGATGGAGATATAAGTTTTATTTGTCAGATGCCGAGTCAGTTTTCCATACCATTTGCTGAAGACTCAGATCTTTCCCCAGAAATTTGGAATACCATTATCATATGTAGTATTAAATTCTCATCTGCATTTGTGTCTGTTATAGAACTTTCTGGTCTGTTGCATTTGTCTGTCTGGAAATAGGAATATTTTCAAGACAAAATTGGCTTCTTGAATTATTGAACAAAGAATTAAGTAGAATTATAGAATGAAAGAATAAAGTCATAAGGAAGTTCTATGATTTTTATTTTTTATTTTTTAAAGATTTTTATTTGTTTTGAGAGAGAGAGAGAAAGAGCACACATGAGCAGGAGGAGAGGCAGGGGGAGAGGGAGAAGCAGACTTTATGCTGAGCAGGGAGTGCCATGTGGGGCTCGGTGCCAGGACCCCAGGATCATGACCTGAGCCTAAAGCAGACACTTAACTGACTGAGCCACCCAGGTGCCCCTTTAGTTGCCTTTTATTTTTATTTTATTTTATTTTTTTTAGTTGCCTTTTAAAGAGACATTTTTATAAGAAAATATTTAGTCAGTGTTGAATTCAAAAGGCATGATGTAGGTCCAGTCAGCCTGCGGCCTTTTTGCCATGAAGTCTGATACCGTGTGCAAAGATTATAGATGACCAAATTGACTGAGGGAATAGGCCATTATTGTAATATTTTTGGCCCATTATGCACTTCTTTTATTAAATTAGAAAACAAGGGGTGCCTGGGTGGCTCAATGTGTTAAAGCCTCTGCCTTTGGCTCAGGTCATGATCTCAGGGTCCTGGGATCGAGCCCCGCATCGGGCTCTCTGCTCAGCAGGGAGCCTGCTTCTTCCTCTCTCTCTGCCTGCTTCTCTGCCTACTTGTGATCTCTGTCTGTCAAGTAAATAAATAAAATCTTTAAAAAAAAAATTAGAAAACTAATGTCACAGATAAAAAAAACAGTACTCATTAAGGCATATCAAAAAGGCCAAATAAGTGTGTAGAGAGTGTTAAATACTTACCTTTTAAAAATGGAAAATATCTTTTTCCTTAAATGTTTATATTTTTGTACATAGGGGGATAAAAATGGTAGCATTAATAACTTTTTATTTTGTTAACTTTTGTGTATTTCTGGCAGAGATTCTACAGAATGCACATTTAAGAGTTAAAATGTTTAAAGTATAAGCTCTAGTGTTTTTACATTTATTACTTGGCACATTAATATGTGGAGAGAGAAATCCAATCTGAACATAACACCGTTTATTCATAAACAGTAGTAGACAGCTCTCCATTTTGGTTGTCAGTGAAAGTTCTCTCCTCTTCCAGCTTTAGTGTATTTATAATTACATTGTATTTACCTAGACATTACCTAATCCCTTTAAACTTTATTTACTATCAGAGAAAGGAGGTACCATGTCCAAGTCAAGAATTTTTATGTAGCATCAAATTGCTCTCATAGAGTATTACGTTACCAAAAAACTAACTTGAATAAAACCATTATGCTAGTCTTCCTGTGGATGAAATTTAATATCTACTACTCAGTGTCAACATTTGGGTGATCATAGACAAATTTATGTATAAGCGTACCAAGTGGCTCCAGAGGATATAAAACTCCTAAGTTATTATTGTGGGAACATCTAATAAAGGCATAGGAAACTTATTTTGAGGACTGAAACATACATACATACATATATATATATATATATATATATATATATATATATATATTTTTTTTTTTTTTAACTGAGGGGCTTAGGTTTTTATTATTTTTCTTGATATATGTATAATGGGGTGCTACTTGTAGGTGGGAGAGGAGAAGAGATGTGAAGGGATGGGCAACAGTCACAGAAGGCAAGGGTGAGGTAGGTGGGTGAACATGGGATGGTTTGAGAATCCATATAAGGTGTTGTTTAATCCCAAGACCACACAATGTCAGACAACTAACCCTCTTCCAGGAGGAGACTGCTTCTGTAGAAAAGCTAAACCAGACAGGCTACAGATGAGGGAACTCCCCTTAAGAGAGCCAGGATGAGGTGCATATGAAAACAAATGTACTAAATTAAAAATGTCAGACTCAGTGATGATTCCTAGCCTCATTTCCCTGTCAAGTTCCTGAAAGCCAGGAGCTAGGTTCATATTATGTAGTTTAGAAACTGGAGAATTTTTTTTACCAACATTTATATTTCCCCATGGAAAAATACTTGATTGCTGTCAGATGAAGCCCATCAACTTATACCTTCATTCACGAAAATAGGACTTTCACAGAGTGTTTTAGTGCCTCACTCTTAAATATGAATTAACAGCTTAAGATCACCAGACATTCGAGGAAAGCACATACTACAGAAGATTTTTTTAGTGGTCTTTCCTTAAGGGCTGATAATTAAGAAGGACTCGGAGACTGTATTGTTCTTTTGTGGATGTGAATGAAATTTAACACTTAATCATGAGCTGAGATTATACATTTACTTGGTTACTTTTTAGTTGTTACAGCACAAGTGCCCATAATGTTTTACTGTCAAGAACCAAATAGTAAATAAGTTAGGCTTTGTGGACCGTTCAGTTTCCATCACATCTACTCAAATCTGCCATTTTAACACAGAAGCAGCCCTAGATATTATGGAAACAAATGAGCATGGTTGTATTCCAATAAAACTTTATTTATAAAGAATAGGCCATGGGCCCACTTTGACCTGCAGATTGTAGTTTGCTGACACTTGGCCTAGTCCATCTACTTGTTTAGATCAATGAGGGCATATCACTTGTATTGTGTCTCCAGGGCTGTAGAAAATATTAAATGTCATTCGAATGAATTAAGAAATCTATACTATACTTTTGTGGGCTTCCTCCTATAGATACTCACTGTACTTTCTAAAGCTCAAAGAGTGGTGGTAGTTTGTTCATTCATTCTTTCCCCCTCACCCCCCCCACCCAGAGCAGTGCTTGATCTCATGACACAGATCAAGAGTCACATGCTCTACCAACTGAGCCAGCCAGGTGCCCCGAGGGGGTGCTGGTTGTTAATGCTTCATTTTTATGCAATCTTTGAAATATAACCAGTTTATAAGCCAAAGACTGCTGGTATTCAAAATATTGTAAAGGAGAGCATTTGCTGAAGTAAGTGCTCTTGAGTAAGGGAAGGACTTCTCTTAAAATTTATAATAATAAGATGACAACTTGGCAGATAAAAAATATAATTGTTAAACTAACACTAAGATCCAAGCTGTCTTGAGTACCAATCAGGACTTTTTATGTATTATAATTTTGTTCACTTAAAAATCTTGTAGTTAGGGAGACACTTTAGTCCAGGGCCCAGGCTACCATATATATATCTCCTTTTGCAGTGGGGGAAAAAAAAAAGACCTTGTAGCTAGATTTTTAAGTTGCTTTCACACATACTATTTTATAGCCTTGTTTTATCTGCTGAAAACAAAAAGGCCCTAAGAAAAATGCTAGGAACAGTAACTTTAACACTTAATGAAATTGTTTTATGGACTTTACGATCAATATTACTTTTGTTTTACAGCAAACCTATGATGGACTTGTTGATATTCCTTTGTGCACAGTATCACTTAAATCCATCCAGTTACACAATTGATCTGCAGTCAGCTGAAAATAACCCCATTAAATTTAAGCCAAACACACCAATAGGAATGTTGGAGGTGGAGAAAGTCATTTTAAAGCCAAAAATTTTGGATAAGAAAAAACCTACGCCTATAATACCAGAGGTATGAATGTCACTAGGATTTTGATGTCTTTTGGCAAAAATACTGAATTGATTTTTCAGTTATAACCTGCAGCTCATATTTATTTCAAATGAAATAAAAATGGACTTTCCTGGTTAAATTTGTTGTGAACATGGCTGTCTTGTTTGCCTTGGCCGCATTGTTTAGGATTCATTTGGTTATTAATCTTTGGGTTAACAAGAATTTTGGGAATACTTTTGGTTTTAGACACTTTAAAATGATCTATAGGACCATATCAGAATCTGACAATTATAAATGATCTGCATTTTAAATTACTCTTTTAAAAAGTATTTTTTTTTTTTTTACCTAGATTTATTTATTATTTATTAGAGAGAGAGAGAGAGAGCATGAGTGCACAAGTTGGGGCAGGGGAAGAGGGAGAGGGAGAGAAGCAGATCCCCCACTAACACAGAGCCCTCTGTGGGGCTCGATCTTACTATCCTGAGTTATGACCTAGCCAGAATCAAGAATCATACACTTAACTGACTGAGCCACTTAGGCACTCCAAAAAGTATTTTATATTTAGAGGAAGGTTTTAGAATCTTTCAATGAAAATTTATTTAAGAATTTATTAAAATTTTTTTTTTGGCTTCTCTGTACTCGGTAAAGTGGTGGTTTTATTCCAAGTTGTTAATTCAAGCTATATAATGACTCAGTTTTCTGTAAATATATGAATTTTAAGCAAAAATTTTTTTTCTCAAAAATTTTTAACCATAGTTGTTCTAATAGCAATTCTTTATTTATAAAATGGTTCTGTTTCTATAAGCTATAGAGGTAGAATTTTGTGGGTTTCAAGAAATATTTTTTCATTAGGAATGTCAGCTTTTTTAACTTCAGGAAATATATGAAGGCCAATAAATTAAATTAATAATTTATTTACATATGACTTGAGAATATATATATTCTCATATTTTCTTCATATTGTTATGCAACTTTTTATAAAAAAAAGCTAATTTTTAACTGTGTGGAACACATTTGTGTTCTACAAAATACTGATATTAAGAATTAATTAGGATATTGGGCTATTACCAATCTAGATACATATGTTATATATCTAGGTGGAAATAGTATTTATTTTACAGCATGGGATTATACTTGGTGTTTTAATTTAATACATGTTAAACTTTAAAGATCTGCAAACTGTAGTTTTCACTTAGCATGGTAACATGTTTCTAAGTTCCACTTTGTATATGAGTTAATTTAATTACATTAAAATGATATGTTTAAAATTTTCTCAATAATTCTAATTAGTACTAGATATCTGAATCAGGAATATCTTAATAGTCTTTACTAATATATTAAAATGAGCCAAAGTATTATTGTCAAATAATAGAGACAATAGGTAATCACAATAGCTAATGTTTATTTGTTAATAGTTTACTATGTGCCAGATACTATGCTAAGTTTTTTATGTGGGATATCTCATTTATATTCCTTTTAATAGAAGCACAAAAATTTTATATTTTAACCAAAATACTCCTTTTTTCATTGAGACAACAGACAAACCATTAGATAAGTATTCCTCAACTAAAATATAAAATAGAACATGTATATCTCTGTATTATTATGGACACTGCTCATTTTATAATAATTTTTTATAATAAATATTTTAAGGAACAAATGAAAATATTCATAGTATCAGATATGAGGCTCTTATGTTTCCTTTTAGATTTCAGATCTAATACTTTAAAGGGATTGTGGATTTAATCTAGATTACTTAAATTATTTCTAAGAATATGCTTTAGGAAAGAAAAATAATAATTTTATACCAAAATAGAAAAATGCTGTTTATTGTATGACTGTATTTTGTAGATCATCTCTTATTGTAAATGTCATTGTAGAAAGTTTTAGTAAATAAATTATGGTAATAACTATGGCTTTAATCTGTGTTTCAGAAAACTGTGAGAGTAGTGATCAATTTTAAGAAAACACAGAAGACAATAGTGAGAGTTAGCCCTCATGCACCACTGCAAGAACTTGTCCCCATTATATGCAGCAAATGTGAGTTTGATCCACTCCATACGCTATTGTTGAAAGATTATCAATCTCAGGAGCCCCTTGACTTGACACAATCTCTTAATGACCTGGGACTAAGAGAACTATATGCCATGGATGTCAGCAGAGGTAAGTAAGACTTTTTGTTTTATTCATTTGACAGGATGTGCATATAAGTGCATGTATCGTGTTTATGTATAGGGTTTCTGAAGTTCATAATGGCGAGTTAATGGATCCTATCAATAGAAGTCAATATGTGTCATTGAGAATAAGAGAAAATGAAATGTAATAAAATTCAACTTGATTTCAGTTTTTGAAATTAGAATAAAAACTTGTCTTTCTTAGTTGTCATTCACATTTTATACTTTTCCATCAATCTGCCAGTATTTTTTTTGGTAGGATTTAACTGAACTCTTTGTGGCTGTAAGATTTAAACAGAAAATAAAGACTTACATTTCAATTCATTGTTGTTTTAATCAAATGTGAATTACTGTAGACTCACCATGGTTTTGTCTGAGTCTTAATTATCATTCAAAGTTATAAGTTTCTTGACACATTTTTTTCTAGGTTCACCCAAAATCAACTAGCTTGTAAAATAAATCTGACTCCAAAATTTAAAAAAGAAAAATAGCTTGCGGTATTAATCTATAGAACTAATAGAATGTATTTAAATTTGGAGATCTTAGATAGTGTTTGTTCCTATGCTAGTAGACAACTGCAAGCTTGTTTATTCAGCTCAGCTTCTCTGTACTTGGTAAAGTGATGAGGTTTTTTTTGTTTGTTTTATTAGAAACAAAAGTTTAGTGAAGGATTAATTCTTCCTATATCCTCTGTGCATTGAGCACTTCAAACTTTATCCTGAAACTGTGGATTTATATAATCCATAGACTGCTATTTCAGCTCAGTGATGTTTTATACTTGAACAAACATCATCTTTACAGTCAATTTACCCTCTTTTACCCCCTCCTTCTGTAGCCACTTCTGTTACTGCCTTCAATAAATCATCTTTACAAGGTAAGACATGAATCAGTAGAAAAAATTATAACATGAAATCTCTACTTTATTGGATAAATTGAAAATAAACTTCTAATTTTACCTGTCTTCTTAATATTACTAATGTGTACATTCTGTAAGAAAACCATTGGCTTTTATTTCCTGAAAAATAATTTATAAGCCCTCCCCCTTGATTTCTGAAATTAATACAATAATAATATTTCAATAATTGATTAAAAATTAATATCATCCTAAGAATGTGAAGAACATTTTTTAAGGATTTATTTATTTGTGAAAGAGAGAGGAAGAGCACAGGGAGAGGGAGAAGCAGGCTCCCTGCAGAGCAGGGATCCTGGTGTGGGGCTTGATCCCAGGACCTGGGATCATGACTTGAGCCAAAGGTAGATGCTTAACCAACTGAGCCACCCAGGCATCCAAGAAACATATTTTTGACTCAGACAAGAAAAAATTATTTTTCTGGGTTCTTTAAGTATAGTTGCTGATAGTCTGGTGGTACCATAGAAGGATCTCAGGTTATGTACTTTGAACAGTTATTCAGAGTAATCAGGGAATATTCATCATAGGAATTTTTTGCAGCATTAAATTGTGAATATTTTATAATAACATGGAAAATGCTTAGACTAAAATTAACTTTTAAACCACTTAAGTGTGCTTAATATAGTATGTAAAAAATTTTTATGTAAAATTTCTGAAAGGAAGTACATAAAAATTTTAATACTGGTTACCTTTGGGTGGGAGGGCTATGGATGATTTTTTTCATCCTGTTTTTCTTTACATTACAGAACTTTATAATGAGAATGCATTACTTTCATAGGAGAAAACTTTATTAAAAATTAGCCGATAATAATAAAGTCTGGAAGCCTTTTTTCTCCATTAAAAAAGGATAGGCTTAGATAATTAGTTACTATAATAAATGCCACTCTACAAAAAAAAAAAAAAAAGGAAAGAAAGAAAGAAACAAGGAACTATACACATTATGTGTTACTGGAATCTTTCTTTACCACTTCCAGTTTTCTGAGGCACAGTAAACCTCTCAATTCCAAGGATTAAGACTACATAAGTAATAGTGTGATTATTATTAGTGTCTTGATATCATGAAGACTAGATTAATCAAAGAAGCTGAAAATTGTTAGGTTTGTAAAGTGTATACTGGCTAATAATCAGAAGAAGACATTTTAATTCTGAAACTGCATTAGATGTCAAAATCATTTAGCAAGCCGATAGGGCAAATAGCTTTTTATCTGTCTGAATCTCACTTTCCACTTCTATAATAATAGATTGGGAAAAGTGGTCTCTGTGCTTTTTTTCTAGTAGTAACATCCTGGTACTTGTACTTGGCTTTTGCTCCTACCTTTGCCATTCTCTATATTCATAACCCAAAGCAAATTCCATAATCTTATTGGGCTCATTTTGAAGGTGTTGAATGTGTTGGTTTGTAATAATCCTTCCAGCTTAGAAAGTAGGTCTTTATTCAGAGTACTAATTGTTGTGACTAGAACCTCAAGAGATTGGAATAAGAAAATGAAGCAAGCTCCTTTTCCAGTGTCAGAGTTTACAAGATCAATCCAAATGCTATAAAAGCCTCTGCCTCCTTATTTTGTCTAATATTATCAGAAGTCTTGGAGCTTTTGTATGTAGCTACTTATAGCCTCTCTTCTGGAAACAGGAAACTATAAATTTGAGTTGTTTTTCTAAGTAAGCTCAAGCCCTGGTGTTTCTTAGCGTTAAACTCTGACTTGTGGGGATCTCTGCCATAGATCTGTAAGTGAAGACTTAGGTTAACTAACTAGTGTGGAGGATGACAGAGTGCCTGGAAATTGCTTTACCAAAATTAGCTATATGAAACACTTGGTTATATTTATTGCCCCATACCAACCATATGAAATATCTACATTCAGTTAGTGAAGGATTCTATCTTTTTTTTTTTTTTTTAAAGATTTTATTTATTTATTTGAGAGAGAGACAGTGAGAGAGAGCATGAGCGAGGAGAAGGTCAGAGAGAGAAGCAGACTCCCCGTGGAGCTGGGAGCCCGATGCGGGACTCGATCCCGGGACTCCAGGATCATGACCTGAGCCGAAGGCAGTCGTCCAACCAACTGAGCCACCCAGGCGTAAAGGAAATAACATTTCTAGGAAAAAAAAAAAAAAGTCAAGGGTATTACACATCCTCAGTGAGTAGGTATTATACTGAATTCTACCATTTAATGCCTGTGTGTCTTGGTGCAAGTTATTTAAACTCTGTGGTCACCAGAGCTTCAGATGTGTGATGAGACAATACTATCTGCTAACATTTCTTTACACTCCCTAACTTAGAAAAAGGACACAGAATGATAACTTGGGATAATTTCTGATAATCCTCTTTGACTGTTCCAGGAAAGAAATTAGGCATGTGAAAAAATTCTGTAACCATAAAGTGCTATCCACATGTTCATTAGTTAGTATTTTCAGTAAACTCATTGCACAGAATGTGTACTGCTTATTCAGATATTTAAATTTAATAATAATTTAAATATTTAAAGCATCAGATTTATGAAGTTTTAATTTGTGCAATATAATTCTCCTTTAACTTGTTATTAGGCATATTGCATTAATATATTTATTGGCATTGACTATCTTTGCTTTCCTGGAGTAGTGCCTATTTTGTCATAATTTATTTTTTAAACTTTTTTAAACAAAAAGACTGTACATGTAGTCCTAAGAAAGGTGTATATACTTAAGCTGAAATGTATTTAAGGCCATACATTTACCTCTAAGTGCCGTACTTTGTTTCCAATATCACTGAAATTATACTGTGAGTTATCACAAAACACATATGTGCTCTTTAGAAGAAATGTCTTCAAAATTGACATATTCCCCACTCCTTGTTTCTCTCTTTCTCTGTCTCTTAAAATTTGCAATTCATTTGTTGAAGAAACTGGGTCCTTTGTCTTACTGAATTTCCCACATTCAGAGTGTGGCTTGCATCCTGTGGTGCCATTTAACATGTTTCTTAATTGTCTCTGTTTCCTATAAATTGATTGTTAAATCTAGAGACTTGATCAGATTTGGTGAGATATTTTCAGCAAGAATACTTCATAGGTAGTATTATATACTTACATTAGCAGTCATGTAATGATAAGTTACATTTATGTATGTATGTACATAATCCCTGTACCCAGTGTGGGGCTCAGATTTATGACTACAGGATCAAGAGTGGCATACCCTACCAACTGAGCCAGCCATGTGCCCCACAAGTTATCTTTTTTCATGTTAGCTGTCAATAATGATTGCTTAAATCTTTTTTTTTTTTTTTTGAAAGATTTTATTTATTTATTTGACAGAGAGGTCAGAAGTAGGCAGAGAGGCAGGCAGAGAGAGAGAGAGAGAGAGGGGGAAGTAGGCTCCCAGCTGAGCCGAGAGCCTGATGCAGGGCTCAGTCCCAGGACCCTGAGATCATGACCTGAGCCAAAGACAAAGGCTTAACCCACTGAGCCACCCAGGCACCCCTCTCTCTCTCTTTTTTAAAGATGTATTTATTTATTTGACAGAGAGAGTGAGAGCGAGAGAGGGAAACCAAGCAGGGGGAGTGTGAGATGGAGAAGCGGGCTCCCACTGATCAGGGAGCCCTATTCAGGGCTTGATCCCAGGACATTGCTTAAATCTTGATTAGGAGTTGGAAAATAATCATAATCTGCAAATATTCCTTTAATTTTAATTGAGATATTTCTGAAACAGCAAATTTCCCCAGTCAGCTACTTGTCTACCTAGGTAGAATTCATTCAGAAGAGGCAGGAAAAAGGTGTGATTCTTTTCCTTCATCAGTATTTATTTATTTATAAAGAGGATCTTTTTTTTTTTTTTTAGATTTTATTTATGTATTTTGGAGTGAATATGGATGGGGTGAGGGAGGTGTAGACGGGGGAGGGAGATCGTCTGAAGCAGGCTCCCTGCTGAGTATGGAGCCTGATTTGGGGCTTGATCTCAGGACCCTGAGATCATGACCTGAGCCAAAACCAAGAGTCAGATGCTTAATGGATTGAGCCTCCCAGGCGTCCCTTTTTATCAGTTCTTAAAATAACAGACTCTTCCTTAGCAGTACGTAGAGGTAAACAGTAAGGATCAGTTATTGTTTCAGCATCACTACAAATCATGGAATTAAACATATGCAAAATGCTTCAATTTATTGAGTAGTTCCATGATACCCAAACTATCCTGATGTTGGCCAGTAAAAAGCGTATCAGATTGATTCCTGTGCCCTTTTAAAATGACCCAGTGAACTCTGATTTCTTTCTCTTTCTTTCTCTCTGCTTTAATTAGATATTCCAGACTCATTGTAAAGATAATCCTTGATATGACAGAGAATCAACCATTCTTACATGATTGTGGTCCCTTTTTAGTGGTCAAAGATTATTTAGAGACCAACTGGGCCAGTGTTCTACTGGATCTGTCATTGTTTGTGTAGGCCTTTCCAGTGGACATTAGGAAATACTTTTTGGAAAATGGAATGTTAATATATACTTGTGAGGTTTGACATTTGCCATTCTGATTAAAATGTGGTTTCTTAATTTTGACACAACTGACATTTGGACTTGGATGATCCCTTGTTGTTGGGGGGCTGTCTCGCACATTGCATTGTGTTTGCTATCATCACTGGTCTCTACCCAGTAGATGCTGGTAGCACATTCTCCTGTCCAGCCCTTAGTTGTCATAACCAAAACTGTCCCCAGACATTGTTCATAGTCCCCAGACATTGTTTATAGTTCTCCAGGATGGGGATGGGGCAAGATTGCCCCTTAGTTGAGAACCATCATATTAAAGAAATAATGTTTTGGAAACACTTAATAAGTACTAAGTAATTACAGTGAATCATGTTTTAGAGACTAAAATATTTCATAATTGTTTAGCTCTGAGAAAAAAATTCAAAATAATGGAACAAACTGTTGAGAGCTTCATATCTCATTTAATTCAAAATGCCCATTTTACTTCTGAAGTGTTGGTAATTATGGATAGAACAGACTCTGAGTCACAAAGAATTGAGTTTATGTCCTGTCTCTGTCATTGCTTGATGGTTGGCCTCAAGTATCTTTGTTTCTTTAACCTTCAGATTGCTGTGCTGTGAAATAGGAAAAATAATACTAAATTTCTTTGTTGCTTTGAGAATTAAATAAGATATAAGATGCCTAGAAGAATGCATGGTTCATTGTAGACCATGATTAGTAGCTCTCATCATGTACATTTTTCAAGGGAAAGTAACTGAGGGAAAACTTGGAGGTAAATCTACAATCCCATGTACAAAACTAAAAGGCTTTTCTTCTATTTTAGAATCCTGCCAAATATCACAAAACCTAGACATTATGAAGGAGAAAGAAAATAAAGGGTTTTTCAGCTTTTTTCAGCGCAGTAGGAAAAAGCGGGAACAGGTAAGTATTTTCTTATGTAGTATTTTGTAAGATTCTTCTTGTCTGTTTTTAATTGCTTGTGCTTTTTATCTTGAAATGACCTACAGGTTTTGCCTTTTCATCCTTTACTAGACGGCGAGTGCCCCTGCAACTCCTCTAGTAAGTAAGCATCGCCCAACTTTTACAAGGTCCAATACCATATCCAAGCCATATATTTCAAGCACACTGCCATCGGATGCCCCCAAGAAGAGGCGGGCTCCGCTGCCTCCAATGCCGGGATCTCAGAGCACCCCCCAGGACCTTGCTCACATCCAGGAGAGGCCAGCTTCTTGTGTAGTGAAGTCCTTGAGCATGGACGAAACAGAGAAGGTATGTGTATTGCATTTTGTGTTTTTAGGATGGGGCAGGAGACCATTCTATTTTTCCTCTTGTCCTTTTCCACGTAGACTGCTAATAAGATTAGTAACAAACACTAATATGTGATAAGATGAATGCCTTGTGGCTGATAACACTGGCCCTGGGAAGAGATTGCATATGCGTAGTTCTGTGATACAGTAAAGAATCAATGTGCCAATTCTAAGTAGCTTTTATCTTCAAGTAAATAAATCACCCATAAACCTTAAAGTCTTGGCTTACTAAGGCCCAACCAGAGGTCTTGGTTAATGCATGTATTGGGAATGCAAATACTCAATTTTGAACTTTTTTTTCATAGCACCAAAATCTTTATGTTGCATTCATGGGTTTCTAACTAGATGTATCTTCTTGATCTGACTCTGAGATGCTCACAGGGAAATCTGTGTGTCTTGTTGGTACAGAGACACTCCATAGTTTAAAAAAAAAAAAAAAAAGCCTTTTTATGTAGACTATATTGCAGTTACTTTTATCTACTCTTATGCCCAAAGCAGTGTTCTGGGTACATCTTTTCCCTATAATGACTATTGCTTCTTTGTACTCCCACCTTTTCCTGGAGTGTGCTGTTTTGTGGAAATTCATTTGCCAACTACTTTTTATGCCTATAGTGTCTACATTCTTTGCTTTATTCATGTGGACTATAAATGAAGTTTTAAGTAAATGTGATTAAACATGAGACACTATATTTTGTTGCTTATTATCAGACAAATGATTCAAGTAACTTTGAGAGCAAATTTTATTTTGAGATATTTGAGACACTGAGAAGTTTTCTTTTATCTACTTGAAGGGTTTTATTTACCCTTGGAAGTTTAGTAAACTAAATACTTAAGTAATCTAACTCCTCCCAACCAACGGTAAACATTTCTGTGTTTTAACTTCAAAAAATTTTAATATAGTTTTTAATTGTAATTTATAAACTATCATATATGCCTTTAGAAAGTAAATAGCAAGGCAGCTGGGTGGCTCAGCTCAGGTCATGATCCTGGAGTCTCAGGATTGAGCCCTGTGTCAGGCTCCCTGCTCAGCAGAGTCCACTCCCTCTGCCTGCCCCGTACCCCTCTATACCCCCACACCCCCCGCACTCATTGCTATCTCTCTCATTTGCTTGCTCTTGCACACACCCTCTCTCAAAAAATAAAATCTTAAAAAAAAACCCAAAACACACACACACACACACAACCCTGATAGAAATGAACACAACAACAAAAAAAGCTTAAACTCAGTAGTTATTTGGAAAATAACTAATCATCTGCTAAGCTGTCTTCTTCTTCTTCTTCTTTTTTTTAAGACTGTATTTATTTTTTTGACAGAGAGAGATCACAAGTAGGCAGAGAGGCAGGCAGAGAGAGAGGGAGGAAGCAGGCTCCCTGCCCAGCAGAGAGCCCGATGTGGGATTCGATCCCAGGACCCTGAGATCATGACCTGAGCCGAAGGCAGAGGCTTAACCCACTGAGCCACCCAGGCGCCCTGTCTTCTTATTTCTATTAAGATTTTCTTGTCTGATGTCCCTGGTATATAATCTCACCTTAAAAATCAGGAGGATTTGTTATTTTTTCAAATGATAGAATCATTTGCTACAAAGTTTTTCAAAGTAACTGCTTGGTAGTTGGGTGAAGTGTTACAGAAGAGGTGATTCTTGGGTTCAGTATTAACATCTATGTGGAAGTACCTGAGGCAACAGGAAGCATGTTCAAAGAGGTGGGAATGTGAAGACTGTGGCATGTCTGGGCATGAATGAGAAGGAGAGATTGAAATTGAGTGAGATAAGCAGAGGCCAAGTCAGGGTCCCCAAAGACTTCATTTTGTGGCTGTAACTCCTTTACATTTCGTCATAGTAAGTCTTTTATTTTTATTTTTTTTTTATTTTTTTTTTTATATCTTTTTTTTTTTTTTTTTTAATTTATTTGACAGACAGATCACGAGTAGGCAGAGAGGCAGGCAGAGAGAGAGGAGGAGGCAGGCTCCCTGCTGAGCAGTGAGCCCGATGCGGGACTCGATCCCAGGACCCTGAGATCATGACCTGAGCTGAAGGCAGAGGCTTTAGCCACTGAGCCACCCAGGCGCCCATAGTAAGTCTTTTAAAAGGCAGCACTTTCAGGTTTGTTTTAAATTTTTAATTAGCGGGGCACCTGGGTGGCTCAGTCATTAAGCATCTGCCTTCAGCTCAGATCATGATCCCAGGGTCCTGGGATTGAGTCTCCTGCATCGGGTTCCCTGCTCAGCGGGGAGCCTGCTTCCCCCTCTCCCTCTCCCCCTGCTTATATTCCCTCTCTCTCTGTCTCTCTGTTAAAGAAATAAATAAAACCTTAACTTATTTTTTAATTACCAAAGTCTCTCTTTTTTTTTTAAGATTTTTATTTATTTATTTGACAGACAGAGATCACAAGTAGGCAGAGAGGCAGGCAGAGAGGGGAGAAGCAGGCTTCCCGCTGTGCAGAGAGCCTGATGTGGGGCTCGATCCCAGGACCCTGGGATCATGACCTGAGCTGAAGGCAGAGGCTTTAACCCACTGAGCCACCCAGGCGCCCTATGTCTTTTCTTTATGTAGAAATAAATCTTTGCTCCTGGTCACAAATCTTTATTCCAGATGACCTCATGCATTCAGTTTTGGTAAACTTCCTCTGTGTTTAGACCTGAAGAGACCTACATTGTCTGAGAAATAGTCTGCTTCTTAAAACTCTAGCCTGTGCTTCCAGTGGCCTCACCAAAAGCCATTTCTTTTGATTCTCACCCTGTGCTTTATGACCAGTTGATGCTCCCATGTTAAGTAATCTTATTTTTTTATATGTTGCCTTTGGCAAACTGGACATCTTTATACAATTTTCTAATTATTTTTTCTTTTGATCTGGACATCTGGGTAGTTCTTTGATGTATTATTAAGTTGGACCCAGAATAACTTGTACTTCCCTAGAGAAGCTGAAAAACCATTTTTTTTAATTTATTCATTATAAAAATTCTTAACAATTAAGCCATGGTTTGGGGTGTGTGCATGCTCATGTGAACTCGTGCCCTTCTAGGCATCTCAGCACTTATTTCCTTAAGTTCCTCACTCTATTTGATGTGCAAAATCACCCCCTTGGTCTTGATTTTTCTTGGTTTTTCTCTCTTCCTTGGTCCTGATTCTCTTTATATTTCAGCTCTCTCTCTCTCTCTCTCTTTTTTCCCCTTGCCTCCACTTCCTTTACTTGTCTCCTAAATCTGGAGGTACTGAATCCATGGTCTTAGTCTATACTCACTCTACTCTTTCAGAGAAGACATGTTCTTTGTTGAGTTTTCAACTGTAGTGGTTTGAATAGTGTCCCTCCAGAAGGTATGTTCAAGTCAAGGATCTAGAGGTAAGATCACTGCGGACTTTAGGCTGGGCCAGACCCAAAGACTGGTGTTCTTGTAAGTGGGGAGACACATGCACAATGATAGAAAGGAGAAGGTCACGTGATAATGCAGGCAGAGATTGCAGTCATGCCTCCATAGCCAAGGGATTCGAGGAGCCACCAGAAGCTGGAAGAGGCAAGGCAGGATTTTCCCCTTGTATTTTCAGAGAGCTATGGCCTTGCCAAAAGCTTGATTTCAGACTTCTGGCTTCCAGAACTGTGAAAGAATAAATTTCTGTTGTTTTGAGCCACTCGGTCATGCTAAGTTGTTACGACAGCCCTGGGAAACCGATGTCAGTTTTGTAATTCCAATCCCAGTGTTTTATTCCAGCCGCAGACTGAAGTTGGGGTTGCTTATTCCCTCATCACTACCTGGAAATTAGCATACTGAAAATCAGGCTCATTTTTGTTCTCCCAGATTTAAAAGCTCAGGATCGCGTTGGTTGTGTTTTCTCTTTATTTTTGCATCCAGTTGGCGGGTCCTCCCTTCAGTCTCCCTTATCTTTCCTTGTCCCTTTCTTTCCTTCTGCTGAAGTCATGCCTTAGAGAAGTCCAGGGTGCAGAGTAAGGATAAGACCAGTACTTAACTTGTCTTCCCAATGCAGAAACTTTGATAACTCGCAGGTACGTTTGATGCATTCAAGGCCCTCTACAAACCGATCAAATTGGGGGGGGCAGTTATACCTCTGTTTGTTTCTTTGCAGCTTTGTCGTGGTATAATTGAGAGAAAACTGTAAAATATTTAAAGTGTACATTGTGGTGATTTGAAATACATATATATTGTGAAAGAATTTCTGCCATCTGGTTAATTAACACATCCATCACCTCACATATTTATCTTTTTTTTTTTTTTTTTTTTTGAGAGAGAGAAAGAGAGCGCACCCAAGTGTGTGCACGCAAGCCTGAGGGGGCGGGGGGGACAGAGGGAGCGGGAGAGAGAGATCTTAAGCAGGCTCCACGCCCACCTTGGAGCCTGATGTGAGGCTGGATCTCATGATCTGGAGATCATGACCTGAGCTGAAGTCAAGTGTTAGTTGACTGAGCCACCCAAGAGCCCCTTTATTGCTTGTTTTATGTTTAAAATTTAAAAATGTCATTATTACCATAGACATTTTATGTTAAACAACTTAGTTTTGAATTTGAAGCTTTAAAAAGGCCCTGTTTCTGATGATCAAAAGTAATGGCAGGCTGGGGGATAAAGTATCTGGAAAAAAAATTATTTTCAAATCCCTGAAGAATTTTGGATACATTATCCTGGAGATTTTTATTGTTCAGGAGTCAGAATAAACCACAAGGGTGCGCTGTTTAACAGACCTACAACAGTCTGATTTTACACTTTTTTTTCCCCCCAAAGCATCCTTTAATGAAGCAGAAAGAAAATACTGGAAATAGTTACATTATATTAGAAATAGCAAATGCTTATCTCTTGTGTGTGAAGTTTCAGAAAATAGAGCTAGATAAATAACAGTAATGTATGACAAAGTGATATCTAATTAATGCAGTTTTCTTCATTTTGCACTGTCCCTTCATGTTAGTATTCTCTTAAATAGTCATTGATATTCTGTTTGCCTTACACAGGCTTACGGA